GTGGATCTGAGGACCATGAATGAGATGAAGCCAATCAAGTGTTGATCTGATTGTGTTGCTCCTGACATGGAGGAGATGGTTTTTTTTTTAAATAAATTTTTATGTTGTGGATTTTTTTAAAAATGTAAGCTGTCTGGAGTCACCTGTGTGTAAGTTGGGCAGCCATGTAAACTTGTGTAAATAAATAATTATGGCGTTTGGAAAAGCCTCTGTTCTAAAAAAGAAGATGAAAAGATAAAACAAAATGTTTCTGTATGGTCTAGAATTGATGATAAGCTTAAGAATTAATTCTACATATCTTTCCCCCCCTCTCCTATGCATTTATTGGTTTCTCTTTTTTTGGTCAGTTTAGCTTTATTTATTATAATATATCTAAGTTTTCTTTATTTCGTAGAATACTTTTTTTCCCTTATTGGTGCTGTAGATTTCTAAATTTCACTATTAAATTAAAGGGATGTGCAATGATCATGTATAAGTGGTAACCAGCACAAAAACTGCCTGTTCCTGCAATAAATGCTTTGTTAATACAACAGGCCAGCCATTCAGTTGCATATTCCAGACCTTGTTCAATCTACGGCTCTGAATTACACCAGCTGTGCCAATAACCAAAGTAGCTGCCAATTTTGGGAGCTTCAGGGAAACAATGTCAAGAATGAGAAGTGCACTCCAGAAATTTTTGCATTGTCATTTAGAGTGCTATTTAGATGTAAACATTTGTGTCTACAGTAGTACCTCCTGCAATTTTCTGTAGTATATTACACACGGCTCTGATTTCAAAGGCATAGCCATGTAGTGCAATGAGATTGTGAATTAATTCTGTTGCTGGGGATGTGGGGCTGAGAAACAATAACTTTATACTTTCTGAGGGGATCTAAATATTTATAAATACTGCAGATTGGACAGAGTATAAAGAAGGAGGAAGCTGGAAATCAAATATCAGCTTCTGTTTTATCTTTATTTTTTTAAAAAAATATAAAAAATGGTAAATAACTGGAGAAATTATTATTAAGCATTAAGCTCATAGATAGAAACTTTTTGATATTATAAAATAAATGCATGGAATTGTCTATCAATGCCATATCAATGCCATAGTTTTAATTGTACAATTCAAGTAACTTTGTTTATTTACATTTTAGAAATTATATTGAACGTTGACATAAACTTTTTTCTCTTTAAATGTTTGCTTTATCTAAACCAGTGGTTCTCAACCTTCCTAATGCCGCGACCTTTTAATACAGTTCCTCATGTTGTGGTGACCCCCAACCAGGGGTGGGTTCTAAATTTTTTTACTACCGGTTCTGTGGGCGTGGCTTAGTTGGGGGTGTGGCTTGGAGGTCATGTGACTGGGTGGGCGTGGCTAGCTGGTCATGTGACTGGGTGGCGATGGCTATGTGTATAGGGACTACTCAGAGGGCTGAAAAAAGTCATTTCTGACAGGTCCTTGCACTTTTGACTGGTCCTCACACTTATGACCATCCTCACATTTATGCCTGTGCAGCATTCTTAACAACCATATCACTCATTTCACAACTGCTTCTCTTCAACATGGTATAAGATAGGGCAAAAAACGTAAAATGTGAGGACAGTCGTAAATTCGAGGACTGGTCAAAAGTGTGAGGACCAGTCAAAAATAACTTTTTCAGCCCTCTGAGTAGTCCCTGTGCACAAAAGGACTACCCAGAGGGCTGAAAAATGTGATTTCTGACAGGTCCTCACACTTTTGACCGGTCTTCGCAGTTATGACTGGTCATCATTTATGCCCATTGTACCATTCTTAACAACCGTGTCACTCATTTCACAACTGCTTCTCTTCACCATGGTGACAAGATAGGGCAAAAACGTAAATTGTGAGGACAGTCGTAAGTTCGAGGACTGGTCAAAAGTGCGAGGACCAGTCAAAAATAACTTTTTCAGTCCTCTGAGTAGTCCATATGCATAAAAGGATACAGCAATAGAGAGGGATGAAGGAAGGGAAGGGAAATTAGAGTAGGAGTGAAGGTAAGAGAGGGAGGAAGAGAGGAGGAGACGGAGAAAGAAAGAGGAAGTAGGGAGAAGAAGAAGTGGGGGGAAGAGAAAGTAAGTAAAAAAGAAAAGACAGAGGTGGTAGGTTTGAGGAGAAAGATTGCTGAACAATAAAAAAGATGAAAGGGAAGAAAGTCAACCCCAAACAAATATTAAGATATTAAGATAAAGAATGAATTGTTAAACTTTAAAGAATAAAAGAGAACAAATAGGAATAAATAGCAATAATTAGAAACACACATACAAACATACAATGTATTTTCTTTGAACAGAGTATTTGGCCGGTTCACAAATTTAAACAGTTGTAGGAGGTTAGCACCTACCTCTTTCCTAGAAGAATGAAATATTTTGGGAAATATTAAAAAGGCAGAATATTATATTTCCCTGGATGAGAAATGGAGAAGCATATTTTACAGACAAAGCAGCTCCCACCTTCCTGCCCCCCCCACCCTTTGTTAATGGGCCAGAGGCAGAAAGTCAATCCTTTGTCAAAGGACATTTGCAACACAATAGCAACAGAAACTAACACAATGGGCCCCATCAAGCCATGTGATCCTGTCCACCATTAAACCATCTTTCCAAGCAGTCTCCATGTTTTCAGTGTCTTTTTCCCCACTTGGAGCAGAACCCAGAAGGATATTTCTTCCAACACAGTATTTAGTCATTTCAATTAAATTTACAATTTCTATATTTCCTTTTTACCATATTTATTCCTCATCTATTTTTTTAAAAAACCAATATTACCCTTCATCCTCATCTCTAATCTTAATCAAATTCAATTTTTCCCTTCTATATTATATCCCTTCTCATTGTCATCTATTTTTATATCCATCCTCACATTGGTTAATTATGTAATACAGTTGTTTAATACAAATTCAACATTTTAATATAAATCAATTAGTTATATAACTATCTTTTTTGTATATTAATCATATGAACATGAATATTCCAATTATTTCCATGCAATCCAATTTCTTACAAATCAATTAATTATATTTACCAATAATAAACCAAATAATTTCCCCCATATATTCCTCCAAACCACAACTTAACCATTTCTGCTTTCAACACAATATACAATTAATAGTATCTCAATTATTACAATTCCCTAGTTAAATAGAGCTTTTTTTCTTTTGTGTTTTAAAATCTTGAACCTCCTCTTGCCCTAAATTTCCCATTGTTTGCAGTTTTGCACCTACCTTTTTTGGTGAGGAAAAAGTAAAAGAAATCTCTCTGCCTCATTTTGTCACGTTGCAGCAAAGACCCTGCTTCCTTACTTTCAATTTCGCTTTTCAGCATAGCTAGGGGAAAAAAAATTTGCTCCAGGAATTTATCTCTTTGCAGCTAGCTCTTTGAAGCCGTGCAGCAAGAATTTAAAGTTTTTTTTCCCTCTAGCCATCAGCTGGGACTCCGGAGGCAGCAATAGATTGGGAGTGGGCGGGGTAAGCGAACGGCAACCCGGCGATCCAACAGAGGCAGAGGGTGAGGGTGAGTGAAGGTGTGGGGGGGGGGCGAGAGAGGGCTTTGGCGACCCCTGTGAAATGGCCGTTCGACCCCCAGGTTGAGAACCGCTGATCTAAACCATCAGGATGTTAACAATTTCTAGCTTATGTTGCATAAAAATCACTGTGCCCAGCAACTGTCTATATTTAGTAATGTGATTTTCACATGTTATAATGCAATAAAGCAATTACTGGGGTGGGGGTGGGGGTGGGGTGGGGGAAACCACAATAATTTGCATAGCTCCACCTTTTCCATGCATGTATGCATATTTCTGGTGTATTTTATAGAATCATGGCTCAAAATAACTGAATGTTTACTATAGACATGCTTTGCTTTCTGATACTTGTTCATAGTTATGATTATATCACTTTATCAAATACCTAAAGCAGTCTGTGTCAGGGATTGTTGCTTAGCAATCTGACAAAGTAAAGCTACTCCTCACTTTCTTTTTCCTCTTAATCTTAACAGTCTACTTTAAAATTTAATAAGTAGCACAGATAGTTTGGTGCCATCAAGTTAGGTTCAACTCCTCGATCAAACAAACTGATGATATATTAATAGACATTATCTGGATTTGACCGGAAGAATAGCGGCGACACAGTTGGGGATTAGCGGGCTCACGAACCGCTGCAGAGGGGTCTTTGGACCGGATCTGTGGTTTGCAGCCTTGTTGCTTTTCAATTAGGAATGGCAAAATTTGATAGTTCTCTTTCTTTCATATGGATATTTTAGTTCTTCCAGCTTTGAAAATGATAATTACCGATGAGGGTTAGGGAAGAGGGAAATGGCTGTCTGCAGTTTCTTTGGCTCACACATATATTCAAGACATGATTATTAAATGCCATTAAAAAACACAGTTCTGTCATATTACTACAGGAAAAACATTTGTAACCCATATTATATGCACCCCTGTTTGTAGGGCTGAATTAGAGCAAATGATCTTTTCATTTTCATTAATAATCACTTTAATGAATTTTAAAGTAGAATATGTTATTTACGTATTTATTCTAAAACACTATAGCACTTATATTGTATGTTATATATTATATTTGCATCATGCCGGCATATTTTGTTGACATACGGAAGATGTAAAACTTTAATGAACTAGAAATAAAACCACAGCCAAAAAACCCAAACTTTTTATAATATGTGATATGTAACCTTGAAGAGATAATTTTGAATATTTTCTTAGCTTTGACATTTTTATTATTATTATTATTATTATTATTATTATTATTATTATTACTACAGTTTAACATATTGTTTTGGAATTCATAATGACCACGACAACCAAAATATATGAAGCCCTTTTCTGTTTGCATATTTGATTCATTTTTTTTTGTCATTAGCAAGTATGGGTGAGTGGATTCTTTTTCTCGTCTTGTCTGATGCATGAAAGCAATTGGATGACCTTACTCCAGGCATTCTAGGCGTTGTTGACAATGGTCCAATTCAGTTATGTTTTTATTTCATAGGACAGAATTTGTTCAGAAAGGAAATATAACAGTAAAAGGGACTGGCTTGCTGAATTGCTTACTGGAAATTTTTGCACAATCCTTTTTAAATCAAGGAGTCAGAAGGGTAAGTGCTTTATTTTTTAAATTTAATTCTCAGGTTCTTGACATCTAATGCTCTTTTTTCTGTAATGTACAATATTCTAGTTGCTTTATATTAAAATGTGTCAAAACAAGTATTGGTATAGAAGACATTCCCATATATGTATTTGTTTAGACTAATACAATAGGTCACCAGCTGCCTACATTTTATTTATTTGAAGTTTTTATTCAGGCAGAGCTTGGGTGAGTTTTTGAAGCAGAGTTATTCATATAAGTGCCTAATTTTCAACTAACCCAACTAATAAATTATCCCTGAGATATTTAGCTAACAGCAAATGTGGCTATAGGATGCTGATGGTTGTTTTTTCATGGTATCTTCCCAGAATCTAATTATAAGATTGAGTATGTATATTCATTCACAAACAGACACATTGGTCAAGCAAATATATGATCGGGTACATTATAAAATTGATTAGAAGAAAAATTGAGAAGCCCTGACACTTTTGAATAATGTAAAGAATTGATCCTGACCATTTTGGGGTTCTTGGGATAATTGTCAGAACTGGAAAAAGACTGGGTAGATAGAACATAATGAGATGAAGTGATGCTTCTGAGGTCTTTTTATGTTTCTTTTTATTCCTTTTGATAACTTTTTCAAAAAAACTCATCTAGTCAGGCTTATTCTGGGATGCTGCCAGATGTACTAAAACTTTATTACTTGAGATTCATCTTACTTGCAGATGGTTCACCTTTTTCTTTCAGATGTTTCCATTTTCATCCCTTTCTGTAATAATATTGATATAAGCAAAACAAGACAAATAAGAGGTCAAAGGTATTTGCAGTCAGAAGTACCTGGATGCACTAGATGACACCTCGTGCAATCTTAAAAAGAGACAGAGCAAAGTCACATGATGCAGCAGATATTATAACACATTGAAACTAATGAAATACAGCTTTCTCTCATTGTATATTAATTCGCTTTATGTGAGGTCCAGCAAGGTAAAGGAAGCCCATACTTACCTATAGAAGAAAAATTTTCACTACAGAGATCAGTTAAATTCAGTTGTCTACATTTGCATATAACAAACAAGGTTTGTTACAACAAAAAGATCAGCGTAGCTGATAAAATTAAAATGACAAGTATTAGAGCCTCAATTGTAAAGAATATATTTATTGGGCAGTACCATTCTTTCAGTTATATATTACTTGCAAATTGATCATTAGTCATTTATATATTCCTTTTCTTCCTCTTCTTTCCTAACCCTTATTTTAGAAGCAGCAATGCTATGAGGAAGAAAGGGAAAGCAGCTTTCACACTGTGAACATAATTGATTCAATAAATAACATGTTAAGATTCCTAGTGCAAAACTCAAGAGTTCTCACATTTGTCAGTTTGTGCTGTATTTAGTAAATGGTGGCAAACTTAATTTAGATGGATGAGCTGTATTAGTCAGTTCTCACTTCCTGTGGAGATGATGAAAACAGAAAAAGGAGCTGTAAGTTCCAATATTTAAAGTTTATAAAGAAGCATTTTGCAAGCCATTCTGAATTTTTAAAATGTGGATCATTTGGGTTATTGGTTTGTAACTGATCCAGAGTTGGCATAGTAAACATAATTTCCACATTCTGTTATGAAAAGAAGATTTGATGTGTACTGCGCTGTTTGAACTGCCAGGTCTTTGTTACATATACAGATGTTTCTCCTTTACCAGAGAACAAAAAGATCCCAATTAGTGTGGGGCCTTGAACTACAGCCACCAACATCCATATCTGAAAACAAACAGAATACAGTAAATACTACAATCAAACTATCCAATTCCAATTAGTACACTGGTCAAAATTGCAACAAGCTAGAGCTCTAGTTTCCAGTTATAAGAGAGCTGATAAATCAGTGCAAACAATATATTTTTATTTTCACAGAATTAAAAAAAGAAAATGTCTGAAGTATACACACACACTGTCACCCCACTTTCTGAAATGTTTGCAAGTTGTGACCAGAAAGACATTCAAAATTACTAGCCAAAAGCCCAAGCAGTTTATTCACTAAATGTTAAGAATCTAAAAGAGAAACCTCTTTAGGAACTTGCAACTTGTCTTATTGCCTAGTTTTCTATGTAGATTTTTACTTGAGAGCAGCTTTCCCAAAATGGTATGGTATGGATAGAATTTATAGAATGCCCTGTTGTTTATCTATATCCCGAAAGTTAGCAGTTTATCGCTGAAACTTGTAAGAGGTTCCGTGCAGTAGGACTCCATGGGGTGAATCTAATTGTGTTAGCAAGAGATTTGGGATGACACTGGAGTAGGCATACGGTTATTTGTAAAATATTTAGATTTCAAAGTGATCTGGTCTGTGATATTTTTTACAGAGTATTTCAATCATGGAGAGGCTTCTGCAAGACCAGTTTGGAGGGCCTGTTTTATAATGAAAAATGTGAGTGTGCAGATGAACTGTTTTATTCAATGCAATAATTAACCAAGAAAGTTAAAAGATTTTATAACCCATTTGATTCGGAGCCTATTTGAATAATCTAATACTTGAATTCTGCTTGTACAAGAATTTTCACAAGTTCTTTATGACTCGTATTATAGAGTTAGCCTGAAGCAGCCACAAAAAGTAAGAGTGGTGCTTCCTTTGTGTTCCCATGCATGGTGAAGCTTCTCATTCCAAGGTCTCACTAGAGCCATACTAGGTTTTGCTTCTACCTGGACTAGTACTTGAAACATTTGGCTAAATTCTAATAGCAGATTTTGCCACATAAATAGTCTTTTATGTTTGTTGTTATAGCATTGTTTTCTAAACAAAATATATATATATATATATATGTAACTCTCTCCCAGCCATATTTAAATGAGTTGTTCTGAAATTGGTTGATGCAAAATAGAAATTCAATCAATCAATCAATCAATTACTCCACGGGCTCTAGAAAAGAGAGCAAATGATTCTTGATTGCTTTGTAGTTAATATTTTTATAAGATATTATTGCTGTTTTTTTTTTTCCAGGAACTAAAGTCTCCGTATATCTAAGTTGATACATAGTACTATATCCTTATTTCCAACCTTACATTTTACTGAAGTTAACCCTGTGGGTTGTTTTAATGAAGAAGAAAAGATTGTTGAAGAGAAGAGAAAGATTTGCAGTCTTCCCTAAGTAGCATACATGGAATGACATAATTTGAACAGTATATGCTACAGAATGACCAGGGAGAAAGAAATATTATTTTGAAAAAATCATCACTGTGTAGTTGTTCTCTGATTTCAAAGATGTAAATATTTATAAGAAACCACCCATTTGAAAAATAACTCGCAGATCTTTACTTCTAAGGAAAAGTTTACTAGCCAAAAGGAATAAGCTTTTCCTGTATTTTAATATGCATACTTTTTCTTGACAGAATATATTTCATGGAAACTGAGAGAATTAAGAGATGATGTGAATTTATATTATATGATCATATAAAGACTATTTAAGGATAAGAATGTAGTCTTTAAAAAATATTAATTATTCTGCTATAGTACAAAATTGTAAACATACACAAATGCTACAGTATTAATATATTTTGGATTGCCAATATAGGCCTTAAAATGTGAACCATTGCAAAACATTACAGGGTACCTAAATTTGTAAATGCTTAGGGTTTTTTAATAGCATCTATCTGAATACAGAATAACAAACCATTTTTGTACTGTAAAACTTTTTCAGTGATAGTATTTAATTAGTTCATTTGAAGTACAGTTGGATGAAATAGAAGATTAACTTGAGGAGTCCTATTATTATAACTAAACAGTCTGTTTGAAGTGTGAAATGTATTTGATAAAAATACATAGAGGTCAAGGTCATAAGATTCTAATGGGTCTTAAATTCCTTGTAGACTAGTAAGGATATTAGGCTTATAATAAGCATTGACATATCTACATATGTTCTACATATCTACATATTTTTTCACTATTGGTACATCAAGTAGCTGAAGTGCCAAGAGTTAGTTAATATATCCACCCAGAACCAGCAAACTAATTGCATTAAACAAACATTATCAACATCAAATAGAGATCTGGGTGATGCTCAGATAAATATTTGAGTTTCAAATTACTTAAGTTTTGATTAAATAAAATTATGTTCTGGAGAAATAGAGATATTGTTTCAATATACAGCTTTCCAACCTGCAGTTTGATGATGAAGATTGCTGGAGTGAGCTGGAGTGAATTTACATTTACCAAGCACAGCAGTTCCATTGGGTCATTTTTAATTTCTTTCAGCAATGAGATGGTCTAACCATTTGAACAGCTGTTGGACAGCTGGCTAATGGACCCAAAAAGTGTGCCAACTGCCTGCTGTTTCCCTACACTTTTTTCTCTCTTTTATTAAACATGTTGAAAGCAGGATGGATGTTCCCAGCAATATCAATATTAAGCAACAATGGAGACAATCCTTTTTTCCTGCTGTGTTTAAAATTTGCCCTCATTTTTCCGTATGTGAACGAAACATTCACATAGGGAAAAAGCAAAAAGATGACAATGAATATGCATTGTAATTGTTACAAAGGCAGGATTGATATATGAAGGTTCTCTTACAGTTTGTTGAAATGCTGAAGACCAACAGAACTCCCACCTAAAAATACACACATACATCAATATAATATTATCTAGAACATAATAGAAGTAGTGTTGAGCCCCCAAGGAAGTTGTTAAGAATTATTTTGTTAGATGGATGTAAAAATGCATCATTACTGAATCAAAAGTTTTTTATGTTATCATTTTACAATTATGGTAACTTACCAGTTAGCAGGTGCTTCATGAATAGCAAGATGTGCATCAGCCAGTGCTAGAAGGGCTAATGGGCTGTATTAAAAGAAGCATTGTATCAAAAATGTTTGAAGTTGTTATTCCCCGCTAATCTATCACACCTGGAACATAGTGAATGATTCTGGGTATTGCATTTCCAGAAAGATTGACAAATTGGAATAAGTTCAGAGGGGGCAAGAAAGTTGAAAGGCTAAAAGAACTTGGGATGATCAGATTGGAGAAAAAAACTGAAAGAAGATATCTTAAGATTCAAGTTCGTAAAAGTGTGCCATAGAGAAGATGGTCAGGAACTATTTTAATTGCCATGGAAACAAGGTCCAGAAATAATAACCAATGAACAATAAATAACTACGTGCAAATGATGAGTATAAATCTGGGGTCTGGATGGGAAACAGAAACTGGTTTCTCCATAGATGTTTTAACTTTTTATTGTATACTGCCTAGAATCGTGTTTGTGAGATGGGTGATTATATAAATCAAATAAACAAGCTCAACTAACCAGATTTCTTCTTTTTTCTTCCATTCAGTTGTGCTGATTGTCCCTGCAGTTTTGTTGGCAAGGTTTTTTAGAAGTGGTTTACAATTCCTTCTTAGGGCTGAGAGAAAGTGACTCCAGAATTCTGATTTTCTATGTAAAAAGTCGTTCTTCAAAATTCTATCTAACGGTCCCTGGTATAATTCTTGCCAAAGAACTAACTTATGTTCTTAAGCAGAGTGCTTTCACACTATAGACAAAATCCCAACTCCTGGGCCAACTCACCTGACTAAAGCTCCACTATCTACTAGTAGTGCTCTAACTGCAGCATCTTACTTAATATTGATATAGGATAATTGTATCTGTTAAATCTTACAGATTGGTTGCAATAAAAGTCTTAGGCCTAGAGTTTCATCTTATAATAGACAGTTCAGTATTTGAAATAGATTGTTTTACTGTGTTGTTTGAGATGCTCTTTTGCTAGCCCATTAGAATAAGCTGAAATGTGGTCTTTCACCTTTGTTTAATCATAGGATAGTCAATATCAACTTACTCTTTTCGAGTCTGTAGACTGCGGAGGAACTAACAGTTGTTTGTTTTGGTAGAGGGTTATCAGGAGGAATATTGACTTCCTGGATAGGTGACAGTGGGTCTAAATTTGAGCAAGTGAGGATCTGCCTATAATCATGGCTCAATATAATATTCCCCACCTATAGATAACCTTCCTGCTCAACATGAAAAAAGAACATAGAATAATGTTCTATAAAATAGGAAGATGCAGAAGAGACAGTCCACTTCCATTTAAGTGACCAGGCCTGAAATTAATGACAACAGTGAAATCATGAATAATTTCTGACAGGGAAGCATCAAAACAGATACTGTACTTGAAAGAACCAGCTGGGAGGATTTTTTTTTTTATTGCAAAAGTTTTACAGTTACATTTTCACCCCTTTCCCCCCCCCCACCCCCCCAAACTTCCCAACCTCCCTAACCCTCCCCTCCCCCCAGACTTCCCTATAATATACTCATAACTCGTAAAAAAAAAAAAAACCCTTAATATGACACTTATATATAAACTTGAACCCCTCCCTCCCCTGTATAATTTTTCTTTTTACCTCATTACATTAAAATATTTCTAAAACATTATTTTCAAGTAAAGGCTATTTGATACTTTCTAGTTTGATATTTGTTCTGAACATATTCTATCCATCTTTTCCATTCCCATTCATAAGTGTCTTGTGAACAATCTTTTAAGTATGCTGAAATCTTCGCCATCTCTGCAAAACTGGCCATCTTCAAAGTCCATTCCTCAATAGTGGGCAAAGGTTCATTTTTCCAGTATTTACCTATCAACAATCTTGCTGCTGTTATCATATACAGTATCAGTTTTGTTTCACCCGATGTAAAACCCTTAACTATACCCAATAAAAACAATTGTGGAGAGAATTGAATTTTTTTCTTCAACACATTCTGCATGACCCACCAAATTTTTATCCAAAAAGCCTTAACTTTCCTACAGGTCCACCAAACATGATAATACGTAGCATCCAAACATTCACATCTCCAACATTTTGGCTGAACATTAGGGTACATACATGACAACTTTTTGGGATCTAAATGCCATCTATAAAACATTTTATAGAAATTTTCCCTCAGGTTCTGCGACTGTGTAAATTTAACATTCTGAACCCAAATTTTTTCCCATGTTTCCAACATCACTGGTTCTTCAAAATTTTGTGCCCACTTAATCATACAATCTTTAACTAATTCAGTTTCTGAATCCCTTTCTAGCAAAACATTATAAAGCCTTTTAATATGCATTGGACCTTTCTCTGGGAGGATTTTGACAGTTCCCAAAATTTCCTGTGCTAGATCTGATAAGTTTATTATGCACTAATGTATTTTGTAAAAAAGTTACAGAAAAATTAAGCAATTTACATGGTTGCTTGTATTATTTACAGTCCAGAAGAGACTGAATAGGATAACTGATTACAGTACTGGAATCTTGTTGGAGATAATACAGATTTGATTTCTGTTTGTTTGTTTAATTGATAACGGATTCATTTTTGTTCCACAATAGTTGCACTTTTGTGAAACATTCTTATATGGCATTTTTTATCTCCCTGAACCTTTCCTGTACTTATTGAAATTGTTTTCTTAATAGTTTTTATTTTATTGTTTCCTTTGTCTCAAAGAGACTATTAGAGGATATATAAACAGTGAGTAAGATGAATCATATTAAGCTGGAATCTTTCGGACTCTAGAGATAGAGTTTACTATTTGACTTGTTTGGGTTTGTAAAGGTATTCTCCTCTATAAAAGAAATATATTGCCTAGTTAGTTGATACCATTATGCTATTGATGTTTTAGACTTCAAAGAACTCCAGGCTGCCTTTCATAAATAATTCCCAACACATCCCTTTTTTCAATCCTTTCTCCAAGTGGATACTTCATGTTTGAAAAGAATGACCTTTTGCTGTCTGAAGGATAATACCAATATGTCTACAGCTCAACAAATAGCTTTTCTAAGGCCCACCTGCCCTCACAATCCTCTCAAAATGTCCTCTGTGTAGTGGCTTCCATGCATTCTGCCTCTTGAGAGGGATGGCTATCAAAATAGTTTGCCAGAGGACAAAGTTGAAAGGGATTGAGATCTTCCTCATAGTAGGTATTACTATTGTGGTGAGCCTCAGTTGAATGGTATATGGTCCCATGAGGTGAGTTGAACATGTTACGTGTACCCATAATAGTCTGAACCTGGAAATCACAGAAGTGCCAACACACTATCAAACTCAGTATTGATTAACAGTTGAAGAGGATTGTCAATTATATGCTTGTTTGCAATTTAATCCTGGTCTTAAACTTATAATGCTTGGGTATCTTTGTAGAATATAACATTCAATTATTTTAAATTCAAAATAACATTGTTTTAGTACCTGGGATATCTGAATGGAATTGTATTCATTAATGTGGTCATGCACACACGATATTTGCTCTGTTCTAGAAACTAAAAGTAGCTTTTTTTCCCCTAATAGCACAGATATTAAACTGAAATAATAGTTCATAAACTTAATTCTCAATTCAAATCATTTTCAATATAGTTACATTAGTAACATTCTTTCATTAATCGTAGAGTTTGCTTTCCAGTTTATGTTTGCTGAAAATCAATTATTAAAGAGTGACTAATGGAATAATAAATATTTTTACATCTATTTCTCTAATAAAAGATGTGCAGTTTGATTTTAAAATTCTTCATAATATTCATAATATTTGCCCTTCAAGTAATCTATTGATATTCTATAAACGTCTTTTCTAAAATGTATAACACCCATAAAACTGACATGTCAAACTGAGTTCTAAAATGAGTTGTTTAGAAATTATAGGCAAACAGCATAAAAAAATGACTCCTTAGCAAATATTTGGAGGAATAATAAACTGGCCACAACTTTAATTCCTGAAGGTTATAGACTAGAATATATTAGAACAATAGAATCTATAAGTTGAAGGATTCTCACAATTTTTCTTGTTGAGCCTTGTGTTCATAGCTAATATCCATTAAACCATCTCCTACTGATGTTCATCTGCAGTGAGACATTTATTATAGATTTAGACAGACTGTTTCATTGTTTAGTAGCTCTTCATATCTGGTTTCTTGTAATATTCAGCCTCATTTTTTTTTCTTTTAGTCACCAATTGCCAGCCCCTCTTTTGTTCTGTTTTAGAAAAAAACAGGCCCATGTTTTATAAAATAGTTTTTTTTAGAAATTTGTAGGCTGCTACCATATGTCTCCTTAACCTTCTGTTTTGTAGGGTAAACATGATACTGATGATGTGCTATCATGGTCAGCTCCTTTCATTCTTTTAGGGCCTCTATTGTGGTAGCTCTGTTTGATCCAACTTCCACTTCTCCATGTCTCTGAAGATAAAATTGTTTAAACTTGGATACAGAATTTCAAGTGAATTGCTGCCAACACAGAATGCAACAAAAATATTTTCTTTGATCTAGAAGTAATGCTTTTTTACTGCAACCCAAATTGTCACAGACATATTTAGCTCCAGCATCAAACTTGGTCACATTTATGTAGTGACTGACTACAAATACTAATCAATCTGACACAACCACATGTGTGTGTCCAAGAAGTGTGATGCTGGAGCTAAATAAGCCAGTACTTATAGCTACTAGTACTTGTAGTCAGACACCATATTCTCCCTCACACTGCCCCAGGCCAGGTTTCTAGAATTCTGTATCTTGTATATCCAGTAGTGTGCCAGAGCTAGCTCTTTCTGACTCAAGAGTGCTGATCGTTAGATTTTCACAATAGATCAAGAATGGGTATAGAACCCCCATCCCACCCATGTCAGATGTCATCCAAAAGTCTGACCCAAAGGTGCTTTTTCAAGAGCCAACTGGACTTTCTGTTTTTTTCTTTAAAGACACTTCACTTCTCATCCAAGAAACTTCTTCTGAAAAAGCACCTTTGGGACAACCATAACCTGGATGACTGAGAATCTCCATTGGCAAAAGTCTGACCAATGCCATTTCTTCCCCATACCTGGGTCTAAATATTTACTGAAAAGGCTCCAGATAATCCACTTTATCCAGGGGCCACTGAAATTATTTTCTATCTACTATTTCAGTCACATTCTTAAAAAAGGGAGGTTAGATACTAGATGAAAATTGCCTGGTATAGTGGGGTCACTGATAACTTCTTGAGAAGGAGGTGTACCAAGATCTCTTTAAGAGGTAATGAAACAAACTCCCTAACTCAAAGAAGAATTTACACCCACTAGAACTCATTCATATGATACCCCCAGGTCACCTTAACAAGCCAGGAGAGCATGGATCTAAAGAGAAGGTAGCTGAACTCACAATCCTAAAGTGCAAACAGCTGTCTCATTTGTGTCTGATAGAGATCTAAGGCCTTGGTTAGCTTACATTGCACTTAGCTTTTTCAAAACTTCGCTGTCACCAGTTTGACTGTATCCTTCAACTGTCTCTTCCTCAAACAGATGCAACAACACACAAGAAGCTGCTGGGGCTCAACTCTTTGTGCTTTGTTCCTAGGCCTCCTGGAGGGGTTGCCTTGAAACAATCATAGAGTCACATTGCTTCGTTCTTAGCAGCATCCTTGAATTAAAGTAAAAGGCTTGGGGGGGGGGGTTGGTGCTGTCTTATCTTTACAAAATTAGATTCAGCAGAAACTTGGAAAGGGAAAAGCTTTTAACCTTTGGAGACCATCGGTGATCTTTGTCCATTTGCATTAGTGTGGTGGCATTCAAACAGGACAAATGCCATATTTGGAAGACTCCTGCTGCTGCCCTCTCTATCTCTGTTTCTATTCAGTGATCAAAAAATCTAATGGCAACACATGAAAAGCTGTCTCAAGGAACAATAGGTTGTTTTAGTTTTCCATTGACTGATTGATTGATTGATTGATTTAATGAGCAAAGAGCTCAGTTTGTGGCAAATTGCACTCAGGATAGCAGCTACTGTATAGAACAAATAAGACATGACTGTGTGCATTTCCTGCAAATAAAAGGTGGAATTTATAGCCCTCCATATAATCTTGGGATTCCAACCCTCCTCATCCCAACCCCCATTGCCAATGCTTGGAGATGATCAGAGTTGTAATCCAACAATGTAAGAGGAGAGCTGAGCCAGGCAACCACAGGGGGCGCCAGACACCCCAGGAGACTACAGAGAAGATCTGGACAAGTGAGCAAGCCAGCAACCAGAGGGGGCACTAGACACACCAGGAGGCTGCAGAGGTGGGCCAATCTGGGTGGGTAAGCAAGCCAGCGTCCAGAAGGGACACCGAACACACCAGGAGGCTACAGAGGAGAGCTGTTCCGATGAGTAAACGAGCCAGCAAATAAATATTAAATTGTCAATCATACTCAGAAAAAAACAAATTTTCTCTAAAAAGTCTCTTTTCAAAGTCTCTTAGTTGCAAAGCTTTCTGAGAGAAAGAAATACCAATCAAATCAAGAATATTTATCTATACATACCATGTTTAATTGTTATTTGTGGTCAAGGGCTACATTGTGTCCATTAGAATTAAATTAGCCAATATGGTTTCATTGCAACCACTCCAGGCAATGGTCACCCTTAAGAAAACAAAATCCTTTCATCTTTCTCCTTAAAAAAATAAGCAATGATTGGTTTCTTAAGATATGTTTGTTGTTTGAAAACTAACATTTTGTTAGTGTCTTACAACACAATCCAATATCTATTTTGTCAGGACTATCAAGTTGGTGAAATTGAGTTTGAGAGAAGAGAGATATTTGTTCTCAAGCAAATGTTATATTTTGTTTATTCTAAATCAGGGGTGTCAAACATGTGGCGTCATGGCGGCATCACGTGTCATATCAGGACTCCCCCCCTTTGCTAAACCGGGCGTGGGCGCGGTCGTGTTTTTGACAGCCCTGTTCTAAATGAACAAATCTACTACTTATGTTTCTTATTTAATACTGCAGTGGTCACTTGGGAAATGATTAGGAAGAAGTTTTTGAAATCTTGCTAATGACTATTACATGAGTTTGGGAAAAAGAGACATAGTCTTGTTTAGTAATCTACCTCTTAACCAATCTCTTAATCTAATTTAATGAAATAGGTGGGGTTTTTTTCCAGATTCACACAGATGACTGAAGAACTACAAACTGCTTATTCATTAAAGCAGGAAAAAAACCACTTCAGGAATGTGTTGCACTCACACTTACATGAGGTCCAAATAATTTCTTAATGATTCTTGAAATCATTTTTTTCAGATGATATGGGTGGAATAAGCGGGAAAGGAAGATTTCATCTATGATAATCATATTGCATTTTTTTTCTTCCCAGCTTTCCCCCTGCAAGTTCAGGATCCACTTTTTTCAGATCAGCTGGGTGTTGTTCCATTGGTTGTGACATAAATTGACCGACCAGACTGACATCATGGGCTGAGAAAGAGATTGGCACCCAGATGGCTTTGATGCATAAGGCGGGATTAAAACTCACAGTCTGCTGGGTTCTAGCCTGGCGCTTAACCACTACACCAAACTGATTCTCCAACAATTGTATTGCATCCTAGAAAAAATCATTGTACAACTCAGTAAGACACTTTGGACCAGCTTATGTGACATATGTTAAACTTCAAGGGAAGAATATTAGAATTGTTTTTAGTGACCATTTTGTACTTTGTAATTTGAAAGGGTCCTTTGCCCCGCCCCCATCTTTCACATTTTTACTGTACCAAATTCTTTTGACAGCAAGCCTCATTGTGACATCCAATTTCTGGGATTATTATTTGTTTGTAAAATCTACTCCTGTTTACCATCTAAAATCAGATCCCCAGATTAGTAAAGAGGAATTTTGTGATACTTATTGTGAACATCGCTAAATGTCTATGGAGATTCTCAGTCATCCAGATCATGGTTGTCCCAAAGGTGCTTTTTGAAGAGGCAACTGGACTTTCTGGTTTTTCTTTGAAGACGTATCACTTCTTATTCAAGAAGAAGTAAATTCACTTCTTGAACATATCAGGTTTTTTTCTTTTAAAAAAATATCTTTAACTGAACTCATCTGTGTTCTACTAAAGAGAATAAACATTTCTTGTCTGGGCAATAGTCACCATTTTCACAGTTGAAAACAACACATTTATTTTCTATTCTGGCATTATTTAGAACAATTGACAGTACAAATCATATTTAGCAACAATCTAATTTAAAGCTACATTTCTGAACTATTATACCTTTAAAATCTTCCCCAATTGAGTTACTAACCTTTTGCATTAAAAGTATTCAATAAATCTTCCTCTTTAAAAATACACTTGATTTCTGACACTTTTCTGATGTATCTATCTCTCTTTCTCCATTTAATATTTCATGGGAGAAAAACATTGATATTATTTTTCAAAATGTGGCTTTCCAAATTCAGCTGCATGTACAGTAATGTATTTCTCTCTCAATTACTGCTTGCTAAATTCAGTTTTGGTTGATGTGGAATGGGCTCAGCTAATGGATTTTGGACACCTGAATCTGCTCCCACATTCAACCATGATAATTCTTGGAATGTGCCTCTGAATTCTTCTCTGCTCTTTTCCCAAACAGCAATGATCATAAGACACTTTTCCATAGAGGCATCTACAGTAATGGCCACTTGTTTCAAAATGGCAGGCACAACTAGGGAATTTGTGCCTCTTTCCACTTTTTAAAATTTGTCCCTTGCACCTCATGCATATAAAAGAAACAGTTTCTCTGTGTGAAAGTCAAGCTTAGAAACTGGTAATGAATCAGGAGAGAAGAGAAGAATCTTCTCTTCAAAATCAGAGACACTCTCTGATCTGATTGGAAAATTCATCTATGGCTCTTAATACCCTTTTCCAAAGACCAGACACTGCAGCCCGAGTTAACTTCATTACTTTTTGAAAACACCTGCCATTGTTTCTTTTTTGAGCTTAGCGTCTGAAATGACATTGTTTTCTAAATTGTCAGAACAGATGGTGAAAAAATATTAGGAAAATTAGCCAAATCCATTAATACCATACAGATGTCTTTGTTCTATTATGATGTATTTTTGTAAAAACTAGAAGACATTGAACAAAAGGTGTTGGGTTTTTTTTATGTTTCCCTTTAAAGCTGAAAAACACTTTAAATACTTTATGAGACTTCTCAAACTTGGCATGGTTTTACATGTCAGGAATCTTTGATTTGGACACTTATAGGCCGTACTCAATGGATACACAAAAGACTTTTTCCTATAAGAATGGCCTTCTATTGTAGCATATTTTATTATAGTGGCATAATATGAGCTAGTGCCTTTCATTTATTATTATTATTTTATTTATTAAGGCAACAGAGTAAGAACCATTATCTCAAATTTGTTTCTTCTGAATCGGACACATCCAACTCAGCTATGGATTCCAGCAGTGACCTGTCCAATGTTTATAAATCAGTGTCTATATCTTTACTGTTCAATCCTTACAAAATGATTGTTAGAACCTGTCTCCTCTTTTTTCATTCCTTACTGCCCACTTGAGTTTATCTTGTCCAACTTAGCAGCATTCCTGCAAATTTGCATTTCAGACATTAGTCTCTTCATATAACTGGCCTCACAGGCAATCAATTGATATTCAGAAGACTACTTGTGTTATTATTCTTAGCAATTAATGGTCCAAATGAAGGAAAACCTCATTCTACCAGTAAAGATGGAAGATTGCATTTCAGGACAAAAAAAAAGGATGTGGATATTGTATCTATGTATGGATACTGGATAGAGGAGCATTTTTTTGCATCATCATGAAAGATAAGCTATTTCCAAAATATGTCCTTAAATACACACTTAAGAGATAATAAAATGATGTTCATAGTCTTCTGTCTGTCTCTGTATACAGTGAAAGATTTGCAACACAGTATATATCCACAGCATCCTGATCTATCTTATTTATCCCATCTCTATTTTTGTAGTTGTTTTTGAGGATGGCCGACCGTAACTTTAAAATACACCAAAAGAAATGAGGTTTATCATTGTTAATACAAGACAGGTTCATTTTCAACTCAATGGTATCATATAGAATGGGTTTTTCATCCAGGTAAGTATATTAAGGATTACAGCCAGATATATCATAGAAGACTTTATGCCAATCTCACAAAACCAACTAAAATTGATTTTGAAGAATAGAGATGGTTAATATAGCCATGGTTTGATTAAAAGATCAAAGCAACTGGATCTTGGGAAAGCTTTCATTATCCTTTAAAACAGTTTTTTTTATTTCTTAGGTTATTTCTTGCTTCTTTTCAAATCCTGTTAGGAATTATATTCTTAGGTGTGTGTATGTGTGTGGGTCGATTAAGAGTTTTAGAACACTGCTGTGTGGAAACAATTCTAATAATAGCTAACCTGATAAGTGAACAAAATACATAAAGAGAACATTTTTATTGATCAACTTTTGTTCCACAGTGTGTGCGAGACTTTTTATAGTTCCCAGTTTGGTTTCTGCAGAACTGGAAAGCTGGCCTGGGGAAAAGATGGTTCAAAACAACCAAGCATGAGGAGGTCAGTCTAAGACAGATGGTGCTCACCCCCGCATACTCAGTTGAGTACAAAAAGTTAATGCCTTTTCTTTGGAGCAAATTTGGCAAACACCAACATGGATGTGGCTGGTTTGGAACAGTCATTATGGGTCTTCTCACAAACATCGTTATAAGCAATGCTGGGTCCTTCAAAAATCTGACATATCTGCATAGTGTTATTATTTTCAGAACCAATGTAGGATAATAGTTGAAGTCTTGACCTAGTTTATTTTATTTATTTATTTCATGTATTTATATGCCGCCCTTCTCCAGAAGGACTCAGGGCGGCGAACACAAGTTAAAAACATGTACAACAAAATCCCATTTTAAACCAAATTAACTAATAAATAATAAAACCCAGAATCAGAGTCAGCCTATTTGCTTGGACAGCCAAGTCTTCAGGTCCCGACGGAAGGAGCGGAGATCAGGAGCCGTCCGGAGCTCAGTAGGCAACTCATTCCAGAGGGTGGGAGCATCCACAGAGAACACCCTACCCCTGGGAGTCGCCAGACGACATTGGCTCGCCGTTGGAACCCTGAGGAGAGCAGCCCTATGTGAGCGAACAGGACGGTGAGAGGCAGGCAGGAGAAGGTCCTGCAAATATCCCGGACCTAAGTCATGTAAGGCCTTATAGGTGAGAACCAGCACCTTGAAGCGCAAGTTGTGGGGAAGTAACTTGCATTCAAGTGAAACCTCAGATATGGAAGCTCCAAGATGAAATTGTTCAGTCCCTCTCAGCCCAATATATCTCACAGAGTTTGTGTGTGTGTGTGTGTGTGTACATGTGTCAGTGCAGGGGAGGGGAACAGAGCGAAGAATGTTGTGGTTATTGTCACAATCACTTCTTATTCTCAGCACTACTCAGCATTTGCTCCCCCGCATGTGCCTAAGTGATTCATAGGGATTGGGGAAGATAGATACTCTGTAGATGACAACATGCAGGTTGTTTTGACCAATCCCCTGTCTAGTCTTCTTTTTATCCTTTACCAGCAGCTTTCCATCAGCATTCTATCGTGTATGGCCTCATCTGTCCTTTTGTGGACTTGTTAAATTGCTGGGTCAATCGTGATTTGCTGCATGGCAGTTAACTTTCTTATTTCTGGATGAAGTTTCAGAATAGTTTTCCATACTCCAAAAATAGGGTCTTGGTTCGGTGCACAGCTGACCTCTCTAAGTGTCACAATTTAGTCATTCTGCTCAATCTACTCCCAACATTTGTAGTTCTTGCAATAGTGTGAATAACAATAGTTACAAAAAACAATTTCTGTCAAGTGGAGGTGAGATTTCTTCTTCATTATCTCCTTTATCCAGACACATAGTTTCTATTTGAAGCTTATTATGAGAATTTGAGTTTAATGTTTTATCATTATTTTGTAAACCTTGGTTTGGATTAATGAATTATCATGGGAAAAGATTAAATTTGCTTTGCCAAAATAACATTTCATCATGATATAGAAAGGATCACTAAATGGAATTTGCTATCAATAGTGTTTTTCTGGTTATAAATCTTTTCTCAGACTACTGGGTCTGGTTAAAAAATGTTTTAAAAGTTGTATGTGAAAATGCACACATCAAAGGAGAACCTGTTTTCAAGGAATTTAAGGAATGCTTCTATCTATATAACTTCAATTGTTGGGAAACATTTGACAAAAAAAATTGAACAGTAAGGCAAAGCTGTGCATATTGCAGAAATTTGGAAGCCATGACAAATGTGATTTTAGTTTATTTTAAAAACATCTGTAAAGAAAGTCTGATGGGCTGGAATACTATCCAATAAAAAGGAAAGTAAATGTTATACTGATATTATAAAACATCCCTATCTTTGTGTCAATTAAAATGCATCAATTGATAGATTGAATATCAATTCATAGACCTCTTGTGGCAAACAATCAATTGGAATTAGATTCATAATAATTGCTTTAATGGTAAATCATATGAGTGTTGATTCACAAAACATTTCTTGATCTTCTAATAGTCCTACCTTCCATGGATATTTGCAACAATATTTCAAACTGGAAAACAAATATTTGTAACAAAGTAAGGCACATTTCAAATTATTGCTGCAATTGGACCTTAGTAGGAATGAATCAATTGTTGCCTTAAAGGACATGTATACAGAGATGAAAGCTACAGAATATATTTGCAATTGAATTTTCTTTATATTGAGGAATACCTTAGCAAAAAAAGGAAAGAAATCAAGTATAGATATATGCTAATTTTGTAAGAAATAAAATCCTATGAGATAAAGGAAATAATGAACAAACTGTTTTGAGGCCATCCAATAAAAAAAAAGATTGCTGCAGAAATTACTGTTGCTGCCATGGGCAAAGTGACCCTTTACTTCGTTTTTATGTAAATTGCAATTGGCAATATGCAATCATGCAATTTTTCAAATTTAAGAATTCTATATATAAACACTTGCCCTTAAATGTTTTCACTGACATTAGAAGATAACCCTTTTATGTCATTCCACTTGATCCTGATAAAGCTATTATCCAACTGTGGATTTGCATTAAGAGTGATTGTCAAATTGAAGGGCAGTGCCAGCTCAAGGGTATATGGTGCTCTTAGGCCCCGTTGGCTGATGGTGCTACCTTCCACTAATGTAATTTGCATTCTTAGAATAATTCAGACGATGGTAGTGATAAAGGTGCAGGATTAGCATTCCCTAAACTTTGGCACTTTAGGCCAGTACCTACTCAGCCTTAATCTAAAGCCAGCCCTAGGGAAGAACAAGCAAAGGCTACAGTATAAAACATTTGGTCAAAATAAGAGCTTATTACAAAATTCAGACTAGGCAATCATTAAAATAAATATGGTTATCATTCCAATTTATTATAGAGACATTCCAATTTATTATAAAGAGAGACATACCTGTTTATCTGAAAAGAAATAGCATCAGAAATACAGCTTATATATCCTTGCTAGATCTTACTCTGTGCAAATCAGTCTTCAAGGTAAGACCATAAACAGTTTAGTTAACAGTTTGTTATGAAGTATTTTGCACAGTGATTTTTCAGCCTCCATTCATTAGACAGAGCAGAATTTGTGACAATGACCAATAAAAATTGGTCATTTTAACTCCTAAGATTCACAGTACATGCTATCTTATCCTCATCCTTAAAAAGCATATTTGAATGAATTGCTTTTATTTTGGAGAAAATATATGCTTTCTTAATAATTTGTCAATAGTTTACTTTTGTATATATGTCATTTTGCATATAACTACCTGTATTGAATATGGATTTTAAAATGTATGTATTTCCCTCCAAAATAAAATACGATCCTATTCTCGGTATTCTTATTTTTAACAGATGGACTTTTGTGTTAAGTTCCTATTTCAACCTATTAGAAATAGAATGAATGAGCTGGAAAGTACCTTGGAGGTCTTCTAGTCCAGCCTCTGCTACTAGCACCACCATGGCTACTACTATTTTCATTTTCCAAAAATGAATAAAATTGGAGGGGAAAAGCAGCAGTGAATTCTCCATCACAGTTTCCAAGACAACTCCCTTTGTGCCACAGTTGCCAAAAATGCTGTTTGAAGATCAGATGGGATTTTAGGTCCAAGGTTAATCAATTATACTGCCAAATTGTTCCACTGATGTCTACAGACTAGCTATTCCAAAACTTGATCCCCAAAGGGAGGAATAAGATAATTGAAAACGTGGATTTGGTTCTCATTTAAACTTTAACTTCTTTTAAAAACTCCAGTACATATTTATCAGCCAGGTGAACATGGCACAGATTCTTTGTTCATATCCTAAATTTGTACATATAGAGTAGAAACCCATACTTTTCTTTGTTTCCATTCTCAGAAGTCTGGAAAAAGTTTTTAAATCTCAAGAATGTATTATTAGAGCCAGTCTGATGGTTAAGGAACATTAGAAACCATAAGATGTTCTAGTCCTGCCTAACCTGTGATTAAATTAAAAAGACTTTTCCAACACCACTATGAAAGCAACAGCATTCTTTCTTTCTTTTTCAAGTATTGAATTAAAAAAATGTAATTTTCTGATGAAAGTGTCCAGATCTAGTCCATCTCAATTCCTGATGTTCAGATGTCAGTGCGGATTGATTCACTTCATCCTTCACTCTGTTGACCTTCCCCATGTTCATGCTCCCTACATTCCATGTGCCCACAATTTTATCTTTGCTATTTAGGAATTATTTTTTTCATGCATGGCAACATCAGTCACCAGACATCCCAAAAGATACAAAATAGTTACAAAACCTGGTTGTATCATAAATGCCATTAGTATTTCAAAAGATCCTCAGCTCTTCCTCACTTGCATTCTGAGTGCCATCTAACCTGAGGGACTCATAACTGGGCACAGTATCATCAATCTCTTTATTTTGTCTATCCATGTGGTTTTTTGAGTAAAATACAGAAGCGGTTTACCATTACCTTTCCCCATACAGTATGAAAGGCGATATCTGCCATTTTCACTACAGTGGTCACCTACTTCCAGCAACTTCATAGATCACTGCCCAATATAGATCCCTGCTAGCTTTAGCTGGGTAGCTGGGGTGACCTTCGCACCTTGAGGCATCCTGCTGGAAGTATATACTCACTGCTGTACACACCTGGCATTTTTCTTTTGTCATTCCCAAGAATTAACACACATGCTCCTTCCACAATGAGGCAGCACAGCAGGATATAAGGTGGTTGCTTAAGATTAATACATTATATTAGATAGATTGACAAAGACAGAAGGGAAATAACCCTTTATGCTTGCTTTACAAGCTGTAAGAGGTTTTTAACCACATAAATGTGTTGTTGGATACTCACCATTGATTTTAAATATCTGAGTTTATAAATCTTATACCTTATTCAGCAATATCTCCCTAGATAGAGAATTGCTAGCAATGTAGGCACCATTACTGCAGTTTGGGAAAGTTTTATTTTAGCAGGAGCAATAAAAAAAACAACAACTGGGAAGAACCATGCAGGAGAGAAAATGAAATGTGTTCAGCTTCCAAACAGTAGACAGAAATTGAATGACTGTATCAAAGTGCCTATCTTCCACTCAGAAATGTGTTTTATATCAGTTTGCTGGCCAGAATGACAAAGGCTACAGTTTCCAAATCAATTATCCTACGAAAAAAATCCCATTGACTCTCTGTGAGATTGCTTCAAAATAAGGTGACTGACCAGCATCAGCAAACCATTCCAAAAGAATGGAGCCATTCAATTCCACCCAAACACCGGAAAGTAAATGAGCCAAGAGGTTGAATCCCAAGCTATATCTACCTCTGCAATATCTAAATTGCAGAATGAGTGTGTATATTTATATACACACACATGCATATAATCATATACATATTATGGTGGGGAGGAGAGAAATCTGTAGATGAGTTTA